CCCCCCTAGGGGCCACCGGGCGGGCGGCGGGATGCGGGGCTGGGGGATGCGGGATGCGGGGCTGCAGGATGCGGGGCTGGGGGCTGCAGGCTGCGGGGCTGGGGGGCTGCGGGACCGGCGGCGCCTCTTGCCCGGCAGCAGCCACGGGTGCTCCATACATCCCAGCAGGGACAGCAAGGCCAGGGACAGGTGACCTGCAGCGCTGGGCAAGGTTAGCTCCGGCAGGTGTGTGTTTAAATAAATATTTGACATTGTCCAGGAAACACAGAGGGGTTTGCTTATCTGTTTCTGTGCTCAGCCAGCCCTCCCCAGCGCAGCTGCAGGCGCGCAGCGGGTGTGCAGGCTTTTGTCATTGCTCTTGTCCTAAGCCAGTCTCCAGATAGTATGTGGCTGAGAATACAGCTTGTGAGAAAAAAAAACAACCACCAACCACCACCATCTAACCCTATTTTATTGATCGGTGAGGTCTCTAACATCTGCGGGATGGGAAGGGTGAGGGGGTTATATTTTGAGATCCTCCCTCTGGGAGGGCAGGGACAGCACAGGGCTGGCGGGAGGGCAGCGGTCGTTAAAAGAGCAGCACCCGTGCCCAGTGTAGGGCTACCCCCGGGGTTTGGTGTGCCTGCTCAATACGTACAGCACCTGGGAAGAGGGCTGAGCGATCGAAAGAGAGCAACAAGCACAATGGCTTGGAATCACCACAGCACGAGGAAAACCCTCCCTGCACCGTCCCCTGCAGTGTCCTGCCCCGAAGAGCAGCAGTGGGGTGGGTGAAACGGGGCTTTCACCACCCACAGATCTCCTGGGCGTGTTTGGTGACAGAGGACAGAGCCAGAATCAGGGGACGAGTGTTCTTCCCCACACGGTTCTGCATTGTGCCCTCTCAGGAGCCACTCTCAAAAGCAACCTACAAATAATTCATTCCAAAATAAACTTAGGAAATGAGATAACTCTACCAGACGCTAAATCCATGAATTCATTGCATCTAAACCCGATCCCTGTATTCCTGCTAACATCCCTCCTGCTGTCCTTTCCTCTCAGACAGGCTGGGTGGCTGCAGACACAGCCTGGACCATGGGCAGTCGTGGGCAAGTGGCTTCATCTCCTGCTGCTTGCCAGGCCCATGGCAGCAACGCAGGGCTCAGCAGCATCCACCAGCTGAAGGAAAGATGCTGCTTCTCCCTGCAAACCTCCTACCCTTGGGCAGGTGTGGTAATTGACTCCACCATCCCTGTGCCTGCTCTGCCAAGAGCAGTTTTCACAAAGCCTTGGCGAGAGACACCGTCCCCCCTTGTCACCCTCCCGGGTGGGTCCTCGCAAGGTCGGGACCCGGTGCCCGCACCCCGCCGCCTCCAGCTGGGTCTGCCCCCGCCCGGCCACCGGGAACCGGCCCTGGGAAGCTGCAAAACGTGCCCGGTGATGCCGGGCAGCGGCGGGCGAGAGCGGCGGGGCCGGGCCTGGCCGTGCCGCCGCCCCCCGGGCAGGAGCGGGGCGGGCGCGGCGGGA